TATATATTGCACAACACACCCCGTGAGTAGAGCTGCCCATATATAGAGAAACATGTTAGCATATATCCATCCCCTGAAATCATTATAATAGATCATCGTAGCTGAGCGCCAATCTGGTGTTCAAAACGCTCCGCTCGGGGACCTGTCACATATCAGGACTGGTTGATGTCATAGAACGAACGTACACAGTTGTCAATGTCAAAGAAGAACACCGGTCGCGAGTCCCGAGTAGCACTTGATTCCTCCATCTTGTCACCTGCGCGTAATATCCGCCTTCTGCAAGCCAACTACTATAGCTTCGTCTTCTTTTCTCCTTCTTGTCCTCCGCTCTTCATGGCTTCTTCGTCTTTTCTGACTCTTTCTTCCTCTCGTCCGAAGAGACCTGTTGGATTACATAAACATGGATAACATGACGGAAGCCAACGCCAAGACTTTCTCACGTGACACGGAATTTTGAAGCTTCCGTCAAATTTCAACTCCCAATTTGAACAACTTAGAGGAAAGAAAGTCAACAAGAGGACACCTTCGAGCATCGCGTCTCGTCTTGCTCCTAGATTCGAGTGAACTCGCTCGAGGGTCATGATGCTCGCGTCTGGTAGCCATTTACACGGTCAGGTCGCCTTTACGTCGGTGCCTGCTCCTCCGTCTGCCCGCAACGACTCTCAACTGCCTACCAAAGAGGTGGCCGAGTATGAAAAGATATTGAACATCCGCGACCAGATCTTTGCTGGCACTCATCCTAGGCTGAAAGTCCCGGAGAGTGTGATTCGCAAAGTTCCTCCGCGGTCTGTTGGGCAGACGTCGCCGTCGTCGACTTCCGCGTCTGTCGTCGCCCCCAGTTCTCAAGCTTCGGCTTCGGAATCAGGGCCCCCTTCTTCTCTTACTCCGGCGCACCATGCTGCTCAGGGAACGGTCACATCTTCTTCCTGGCCTCAGCCGGCGAGTACTGCTGCGGGCGGAGACACTGACTCCCCCGTTACAGGCGCGTCGACTCCGAAGCCAACATCAGAAATAGACCCTATCTTCCTGACAAAATCAGATGATCTCATCCGAGCAGAGACTCAATTGCAACGGCAGCGGATTGAACGTGCATTGCGAGATTATGCTGAGCAGAAGAGGGTAGAGGAGAGGCAAAAGCCGCCGTTACAGGAGCTAAAGCCTGACTTTGACGTCTCGGATGTTTTCAACAAGGCGTTGGAGATAGTGAAACCGCTTTCACCTCCTTACGATCAAGATGATAACACTGGTATTGATGGCGATGGTGATCGGGCTAATAATGGCAATGCAGCCAGTGACTCCTTCGATGAGAATTCCTACTACTCGAGCAGGGCTCCCGATTCGCCGCAAAACGAGGAATACGACGAGGAAATGGCACCTGCCCCGCCGCTGGCTGGGAATATGGATACAGACGAGAGTGATGAGACTGTTATCGTAGACCGTGCCGGTGTTCATGAGACTGAGCATGTTTCTGCTTCTGGTAATCACCATCTGCTTGATCAACATGCTAACATTGACGATGATGCAAGAAGGGACCTGGAGAATATTCAGCCTTGGACTGAGGATAATGAAAATCATTACTCCCCGCCAGAGCCGTATGAGGAGCCAGAGTACTCCCCGCCAGGCCCTGACCTAATGGTTAACGGGCGACAAGACTTGCTAGAACCCAGCTATCTTAGCCCGTCAAGTAGACGGCAACCCCTTTCCATGCAACAGCCTCCAGACCAACCGTCTCCAGCTCCTAAAAACTTGCGGGTGGTGAGAAACCATATCACGTCTCCAGCAGCACCCCAGCCTTCCCGTGTCTCGCCTCTTGCTGTTACTAGGGTCTCCTCAATAACACAGTCCCGTCAAGGTCGACAAAGTAGACAGTCTGCGAAGGCACCTATTGATCAGGGCTCTGCACGTACTAGTCCAGAGACCGGCCATCCTCAGCAGTTAATTTCACGGAAACGTCGTCGCATTCAGCAAGCTCAAGATAAGAAGAAACCCGAGGAAGAGAGAAGAGTCGTTGCATCTCCTGATATGCCATATATTAAGCCGGAACCAGTCTCTCCCCCGTCATTCATAGACGCTCCTCCAGCAGTGTCCCATTATCCTAAGAGCCGATTAGTTCAAGAAGTGCCTACTGATGTTGATTATGTGTCTCGTCACGATGACCACGTTATAACTGGTCGTGTTCCGGCGTATGACGATGGGCATGGCAGGAACTATGAATTGGAAAGTCCAATTGAGCTACATACCCCTCGAACAACTTCAAGAATAGGTTATAGACGCCCTATTCGGGATGAGCATGACCTACGACGAGTGGCTAGTTTACAACATGCTCGACAGGCAGAGTATGTTCAAGAGTATTCGGAGCCGATTGCCGAGATATCTCCACGCCATGGGCGAGCTGTATCCTACGCTGAGCCCATCCACTCGGAGCGGCCTAGGTACCACGAAGAGAGCCAACCGGCACAATATACCACCACCAGAAGATACATGACCAGGCCACTCTCACCCCAGTACCGTGAAAGTTATGCCCCAGTTCGCGTCTCTGAGTCCCGTGTCATGGGTCCTCCTCCATCGCAAAGACGCATCGTAGTTGATGCAGAAGGTAATAGGTTCTATGAGTCAATTGATGCACCGCGTGCTATGCCTCCAGTATCAGTGCGGCCGCCCAGGGCCGAGGCCTATGACGGAGTCAATCATGCTCCTACTCGATCTACGTCGATAGTCGATGATCACTACCGAGACCGTAGGTATATTCAGGAAATGCCACCTCCCGAGATTACCTACCGTCGTAATGCTGGCCCCGGTACAGGCCCTGGCTCAAGCTATACTACAGGCAACGAACTTGGTGATCCTCGATACTATGACAGCGAGGCCGCGGACCGTGGACCAGTGATGCGTAGCGCCGGTGTACAAGTGATAGACTATCCATCGCGCCAACCACAACAACTCCGCCAGCCTCAACCAGCATTCGTCGACGAGTCTCACTTTCCTCATGAGGAGATCGTACGTGTGGCTAGCGTGCGCCCTCCTCCTCGATATGAAGAGCATCACGAAGTCCGGCCTCGCATGACAAGTGTACGACCTATGCGAC